GCAAATATCCCGTTCCACCACATCCCAAAGGTGCTCGATTGGATTGAGATCTGGTGACTGAGGAGGCTCAAATGACATTTGAGTACAGTGAACTCATTGTCATGTTCAAGAAACCAGTCTGAGATGATTCATGCTTTATGACATGGCGCGTTATCCTGCTGGAAGTAGCCATCAGAAGATGGGAACACTGTGATCATAAAGGGATGGACATGGTTAGCATCAATACTCAGGTAGGCTGTGGCGTTAACACAATGCTCAGTTGGTACTAATGGGCCCAAAGTTTGGCAAGAAAAAAATCCTCATTAGAATCATTAGACCAAGCAATGTATTTTTTTCTAATCTTCTATTGTCTAATTTTGGTGAGCCTATGTGAATTGTAGCTTAAGGCTCCTGTTTTTTGCTGACAGGAGTGGCACCCAGTGTGGTCTTCTGCTGCTGTAGCCCATCTGCCTCAAGTGTCCATGTGTTGTGGGTTCAGAGATGCTCTTCTGCACATTTCGGTTGTAATGAGTGGCACCAACAACCAAGGCACGTTCAAGGTCACTTAAATCCCCTTTCTTCCCCATACTGACCCTAGTAGCAAAGAATTCTGGCCCAGATTTGGCATAAAGCTGGCACAGCAGGCATTCATCCGGCACTGGCATACAGCATGTGGCCAAACATGGCCCGGGTTTGGCAGAGGTGGCACCGCCTTTAAGGCGGCACACAAGATTTGGGCCAGATGAAAAACGTAGTATTTGGCCCAGATTTAAAAATTTGAAAGTGGGCCATGTGAGTTTGGCCAGTTTTGACCCACATTTAAAATACACTAAAATCATTTTTGAGTAAAGAAAAAAAATTCTACCAATCAGGTCACTTTGAGAAAAAGCGTGCCCATAGTGTGCCTAAAGCGCATCACTTCATGGGTTTATCAATTTCATTGCAATCGTGACACACCAACCTATCTGGCCCAGTTCAGGCCCAGTTATAAGTTATTAACTTGGCTGAGACTTGGCCCAGATATGGTCCGTGTTTGGCCCTTGTCTGGAAGCCAGATTTGGTCCAGTCATGTACCGTAATTCACTGCGGCATGTGGGCCAAGCAAAACCTGATTGTGTGGGCCAGAGCTGGGCGAGAGAAATTTTGTTATGTGGGGATGCTCTGTTTAAATTGCAGCAGATCGTCTTGACCATGCCTAGATGCATTTAGTTGCTGCCATGTGATTGGCTGATTAGAAATTTGCATTTACAAGCAGTTGAACAGGTGTACTTAATTAAGTGGCAGGTAAGTGTAAGTAGTTGTAGTAGTAGTCAAAGTTTGCAGTGATTCATCTCCTCGTTCTAAAAAGATTGAACAACACCCATTTTATTTTAGGTTAATTTTGAAGTATATTTTTGGTCCACTATATATATATATATATATATATATATATATATATATATATATATATATATATATATATATATATATATATACACCACTCTTTATTTTTTTAAATGTATGATGGGCACGTTCCACTCACAAAAAAAATATAAGAAACAAAACGCCTGTGAGGAGACAGTTTTTAAAAATCACCTGATCACACCAGTATGGATGTCTTTAAAAATCACCTGATCACACCAGTATGGATGTCTGCAGCAGCTCTGGCTTCATGTCGACAGATGAGTTGAAGTCACACAGACTAGAGACTGACGTTAATGGATATAGGTAAGACTACATGCTAATTTGAACACATTTTTATCACGAAATATTTTGCCGCAATACAAAATAGCACTTTAAAATCGTTAGCAATAATTTAAACTGTTATTAAACGGAAAACAAACGCTAGCACAACAACGCCATTTGATTTACTCGCCAAAATCAACACCGCAACAAAAATAATATGCAGGCTTTAATAGATAGCCTATTGACGTTTATTTATTTATTTTATTAGGCTAAGCTGTTCACACATTGACAAAAGTGATGGAAATGTGTCTTTCAGATGTTTAATGAGGTGGAATCACAGTCACCGTTTGATATTTTGGCTCCACCATGCATCAAAGTAGCTTTATTTTAGATGTATTAGCCTCGAACTTCATTTCATCTTCTAGAAAGTCTGCAGATAACACTATGCTAATGCACCATGGACGATTTAATCAGTAAGTTCCTGTCATTTCTCGCACCTTGGGTTGGTCTGAATAGGATGTAATTAATTGCCTTGTTTTAAGAACATTTCATCCAAGCCACTTAGCACTAGATAAACATTTCCTCCACATGGGGATGATGGCACAGCTGGAGATGTGAGGAATACACTATATATATTTTAAATGATTTATAATAGTTTAATGGTTGTTTTCAGGACAGACTTTTTCAGTAAGTTATGAAAATGGCCTTTCCTTTGTGCATATGAATACACATCTCATAAAGTGTGTTTTGTTGGAGCAGGAGTGTTTCTTGAGGCCTGTGATTGGCTGCGCTGAATGGCAGGCAGAGGAGGGTGGTGCTTTTAAATGACACACAGAGTAAATGTTTGCTTTCCATCAATAAAAATGACACCCAACACCCCCAATCCGCCAAACAGCTGTCTCTCACAATGGAGAAGACTGAGATGTGGAGGGAGAGAAAGGGAGAGGGGCGAGCTGTGACCAGTGAATGAGACACAATGCCAAACTAGCAGACTGAAAAAATGAGATGCATGTGAATATTGGAAATAGGCAATGTATGTAGGCCTTTGTTGTTGTGATTGAAGATTATAATGTCGTTTTTTTCACATTTCACCTTTTCGAGGGGCAGTTCTGTGATCCTTGATTGTTTAGTTTCATTACACTCTTATAAAATAAGGCTTTTATTGGCATTGATGGTTCCATGAAGAGCCTTTTAACGATTTGAACTTTTAATTCTTCATGTGGAAAATGGTTCTTTATTATTAAAATGTTCACACCGAAAAAAAATAAAAGATCATTGATAGCTTTTCACCAGAGGAAAATAGTTTCTTTTTGTTAACACTTTAAAAACACTTTTTTTAGTGTACATTATTAAACTGAAAAAAAATATTCAGGGATGATTCCTTGGATTTGCTTTTTTAAAGTTAATTGGTTGTAAACAATTTATTTGGCTTGAATTTAATCAAACACATTAAGTTGAACATTACTGTATTTAATTTGTTTAAGTTCAACAATAAGAAATATTTTGCAACAATTTTGCAGACATCATTTTTTCAGTGTAGATTCGATTATTAGACATGAAATCATTAAGTTCTTGCTTTGAAATATTTAAAAAAGAGAAAAACTTAAAAGTTTAGTGCTATTACTGTGAATTAAAAGTACACTCAAAAATTACTTTTGATGTTTGTTGAAACTACTTATTTAATTTGAGTTGAATCAACACAGTTGTAACCCAAGTTTTTGGGTACAACTTAATTGTGTAATGTTTAATCCACTTAAATTTGTAAATTCATCACTGAAATATGGTTTTTGATGATGATTCCTTTAAACAATTTATTTGGTCCAAATTTACACGAATTAAGTTGAAGATTACTAAATTTAATTTTTTTTTTGTTGAAATTTATTGCATATAAATTGTTTGCAACAGACATCGTTTTTTTTATTTTGCAGTGCAGTTAATTGATTTATGTTGGGACAATATGAAGGAATTTTGTGGAATACAGCATTTTTACAGTGTAAATATTAGTTGTTAAATAAATAGTTGTTTATAGGTTGTTAAATAAGGCTATATACACACACACACACACACACACACACACACAATCAAATGTTGACTTTACAGTTATCTGAAAAAAGATGGTTAATAAAATAAACAGCTAAAATTAAACATAATTTTATTTTTTGTAAAACAGAGGGTCCTGTTTAATTTCTAAACAGTAAATACACAAATTATTATATAAATGAATCTTATTCTATTATCGTGGTCATGCAACTGAAATTGAAATTGATGATTTGTTACATTTTAAGAGATAGATAGATAGATAGATAGATAGATAGATAGATAGATAGATAGATAGATAGATAGATAGATAGATAGATAGATAGATAGATAGATAGATAGATAGATAGATAGATCGATAGATCGATAGATAGATAGAGATAGATATGGATGGATGGATGGATGGATAGATAGATAGATAGATAGATAGATAGATAGATAGATAGATAGATAGATAGATAGATAGATAGATAGATAGATCGATAGATAGATAGAGATAGATATGGATGGATGGATGGATGGATAGATAGATAGATAGATAGATAGATAGATAGATAGATAGATAGATAGATAGATAGATAGATAGATAGATAGATAGATAGATAGATAGATAGATAGATAGATAGATAGATAGATAGATAGATAGATAGATAGATGGATGGATGGATGGATGGATGGAGATATTAAAATGAGTAGTTATATAATGCAATACATTTTAGTACAATTGTTTGTCAGCCTAATCAGCATAAAAACACTTGCTTTCCCTTCTATAGAATTTCACCAGGCCTATTACAGTAGTCAACATTTAAAGTGCATCAAAAGCTTTTATCAAAGTTGTCCTAAAACTTTTGATTAACACCCATTTTTGCCTTTCTCAAAAATAAATGTGTCCATATGCTCATAAAATGTTGACTACTGTAGTCCTAAAATAAGTGCAGTAATTTGAAAGAAAGAAAGAAAGAAAGAAAGAAAGAAAGAAAGAAAAAAAAGAAAGAAAAAAAAGAAAAAAAGAAAGAAAGAAAAAGAGAAATATTTTAGACTTTGAACAGTTACTTTATCAATCGATCTGGCTATTGTTGGATTATTGTTGTAATAATATAATTTTGAACGTTTACTTAAGGTCGTTTAGACCGAATGTGTTGCGCTTTCCCTATCGCTATAACTGCTGATTTAGTGACAGTATAATTTCGGATGATGTGTTTTAATGAAGGCTCGGTGTTCGGTGTTGTGGGCTGGGCTGGGCTGGGCTGGGCAGGGCAGGCCGCCGGTCAGAGGGCGGGAGATCAGCGCTCATATATGAGACTCTGGCCGAGAGGAACTTCATTTACTAACTTTTCTGTCTGGACCGTCTGCTGTAAAGCAGTTAACGCACACTGTTGGATTTCTAGATGCTTCACTGAAACATTTCGCATTTAGTTGAATAACTGGCGAAATGATTGACGAAGTTAAACGAGAAAGAGGCGATCAATGGATGCCATATTACTCCAGCGAGGTAAGTTCTTCACTAAAACATTTGATTCAGTTTACTTGGCCCTGTAATAATTGGCTTAATATTTAGTGTAAACCTGACGTGACATAAACGTTTTTATAAAGTTTTAGCAGGTTTTTCTTCTCTTTTTTTTTGTTCATATTTTATTAATTATTCTGGATAAAATATGTATAAAAACATAGCTAAATATACAAACTTTGATTTTGGGTAAGGGGTGAATTGTTTAATGAGTACTTAGACTATAGCCTATGCCTATATATATAGTTTTTTTTTATAAATATTTTTTATTTTAAATTTATTTTAAATTTCTAAATCTTGAAATATTAAGATTTTTATTTTTCATTTGTTATGTTTATTCATATTATAAATTTAATATTTCCAACATTCATCCATATATTTTAAATTGTTCAAGCATGTTATAAATCTTACAGACATAACTTATAAATTACGACTAATAAATTAGTTAAATACAGATTTGTATTCTTAAAACGTTTACAAACACCGTTTCTTCTTAATTCGTTGAAAATCGTCAACATCCCTGTCATAATATAAATAAATCAACAGTTGTACACAAATACAGTTTTTTTTATTATTATTATCATTGTTTTAGATGTTAAACCGTTTTTAAGCTTTTCGTTGCAATTGCTTTTATTTGGTAGAAAATTAATATGAACAGGTATTTTAAAATATATCTCTGCCGTAAAAAAATCCAGGTTGCCTTACATTTTTAAGCTGAATCAAATTAAGGTTATGAGTCCATTGAACTTAGCCTATATTATGTTAAACTGACTTAAAACAGCTGCGTAACTTTATCAATTTCAGTTAAAGTTAGAGCATGATTAACTTAGTTTTATAGGTATCAATGACCTACAAACATGCTGTCAGGACTAATTGATCATATAATTTTTACAGTGTATATAACATTCTAAGCTATTTGTGAAATCTATTCTAATATGACAGGATCTGAACAATTTTCCGAAAAAATTATTAGTGATATATTTTCTAGGTATGGCATAATTGAAGCGAAATACTGCCCTATAATTTTCACCTCACATTAAATGAGATAAAATCTCAAAATTGGCCCATAGCATATTATCTTGCATTTACAAACAGATGACATTTTTGACAGACGGGCATTTTTGTTTGTTTGTTTATAATCCTATGACGCAGTGACGTTGATATTCTGGATAGGGTTGTATGTGTGTCTGCGCCTGTGTGTGGTCTCGGGGCAGTTAATTGATTGACTCTGTGATTGTGTTGGATGTCTCGCGCTTTGACACTCGTGTATGACTCTCAATCGGCCCAGCACGGGCTCATAACCAGAGGGGCGTTTCGGAATCCCAAACACGAAAGCGGGGTTCCGACTTGAAAGGGCCGAATTATTAGAACGGTGTCCATCTGAGGAAAAAAAGAACATCCGAGAGAACAGCAGTCGCGCCCCCAAACACCCCTCTGTCCCGAGAAAAGGCGGACGGTGAGTGACTTAAAAAGAGACAAAACAAGGGTGAGAAGAATAGCCGGACTAGCCGGATAATGGGTTATCGGCTAGGTGGGTGGTCAGAAACGGAATACATTTAGGCTACTTGGCGTAACCCCAAGGCGCCAGTTTGGTTTTGAAAAAAGGGATAGCCAAGGATACACGGACGCCGACGTCAGCAATGCAACAAGTCATCGTCATCATAAAGATTTCTTATTTCGGTCCCTAACTACATTATTTACCTGAAAATGTGATGGTTTTCCTTTAATGCACACTCAATTATAGGGCGAATAATCCTAAAATGAGGTTAGCAATTTTGTTATTCAAGTTAGCCTGCTGACTTTTTTTTATTAATGTTGCATTTTTTTATTATTATTAAAAATAGTTTTAACAATACCCACATTATTTAGGGAATGATACTATGTTTGGTTTAATTATACAGTCTAATGTAATGTTTAGATTAAAACTTTAACCATTTGAACCATTTGTATTTTACAGTGTAGCTTTACACTGAATAGTCATTTAATCATTGCTTTAGTTGTATTTGAAAATACAAAAAACTTTTATGATGCGAACACGTCTCTTAACTGACAGTAAAAACAAATTTATATTATAAAAAGCAGTTAATATAATATATTGTAACAAGTCTATAGTAAATAAGTTTTAATAATATTGAAGGTGCCGATGTGTCTGTAAAACAGGCAGACTAACAAAATAAATAGATAGTATATATGAATTTACTAGATAATTATACTAGCTAAATAATTTACTAGATTGATAATTATAGTTGAAGTCAGAATTATTAACTCTGAATTATCAGCCTCTGTTTATTTTTCCCCAATTTCTGTTTAATGGAGAGAATATTTTTTCAACACATTTCTAAACATAATGGTTTTAATAACTCATTTCTAATAACTGATTTATGTTATCTTTGCCATGATGACAGTAAATAATATTTGACTATATATTTTTCAAGACACTTCTATACAGCTTAAAGTGACATTTAAAGGCTTAACTAGGTTAATTAGGTTAACTAGACAGGTTATTGTAAGGCAAGTCATTGTATAATGATGGTTTGTTCTGTAGATTATCTGAAAAATATAGCTTAAAGGGGCAAATAATTTTGACCCTAAAATAGTTTAAAAAAATTGAAAACTGCTTTTATTCTAGCCGAAATAAAACAAATAAGACTTTCTCCAGAAGAAAAAAAATAGTATCAGACATACTGTGAAGATTTCCTTGCTCTGTTAAACATCATTTGGGAAATATTTAAAAAAGAAAAAAATTCAGGGGGGGGGGGGGGGGGGGGGGGGGGCTAATAATTCTGACTTCAACTGTCAAAATTAGTCAGCATATCTCTAAACGTATAACTTTATATATTTAGTTAACAGATTTAAAATGAAATTTTCTCCAAATTTTTTCTGTTATTTTTGTCCTAATGCTTTGGTTTATTTCTGACTCCAGATTCCCACATTAGAGTTGAAATAAAAGAAAAAATGTCTGTGTATATGATGTTAAAATAATGTTTTGTCTTTTTTGCAGATGTATTATGGCTCAGACAGCCTGCCATTGGGCCCCAGAGGATATTCTCCCCCAGAGCATCACTACCAGAGTTACGGGGTGCAGTGCGACTCAGCACCTGCAGTAAACCCTGGGAGACTCGGAAGCCCAGCAGGACTCCTGCCACCTGCAAACCCTCCAAAGGCATATGCTGAGATCAACTCCAGCGAACCAGAGTTTCAAGAGCTGAAATCAGTTTACCGGCGGACATTAAGCCATGCCAAACCGCCGTACTCCTACATCTCTCTCATCTGCATGGCCATCCAGCAGTCTCCAGCCAAGAGACTGACTCTGAACGAGATCTACGACTGGATCCGTCAGCTCTTCCCATATTACAGACAGAATCAGCAGAGATGGCAGAACTCCATCCGCCATTCCCTGTCCTTCAACGACTGCTTCGTGCGTGTCCCGAGATCTCCAGACTCTCCAGGAAAAGGCTCATACTGGGCTTTACACCCTGACTCCGGTAACATGTTTGAAAACGGATGCTACATGCGCCGCCAGAAGCGCTTCAAGTGTCAAAAATCCACATCAACAGGCAAAAACTCAGAAGGAGAAGATGTGAAAGTGGAAAAGAAGAAAAAGAAGGAGATCAAGTCAGTCAGCTCCTGTAAATCACCTACAAGTGATGCTACAAAACAGAGTTCAACAACAGTGAGCTACGCCAACACCAAACCAGCTTCTCCCTCCCATCTCAATCCCTCACATACTTTATTTCCCACTCAGCCTCCAGAGATCTCGACACATTTGCCTTCTCTGAGTGTGCCGTTTCCAGCATCAATGGAAACCAGCTTGCATTGTGAACCATCATCCCAGCATCAGCCCATTTCTGTCCCGCGGCTTGTGGACTTCCAGTACTGCGAGACTCCTGTTAGCTACCCGCTTTACTGCCAATCAAACAGCCATGCCAACTTCCCCTCATACACCACAGACTCTGTTTACTATCCTGGATTTAGCATGTGTTCGACTCCTCTTCTAAGTTCCTCCTGATCCAGGTCGGTTTAAGGAAAGACACTGCAGGTGAACAGAGTTGAATAATGATCTAATAGTTGTCAGAATGCTTCCCCAGTTCATTGATTTTATTTAGAATCTGAAACTTTTTGGTATTAAAAGTTTTCTGAAATTCTTTTAAAATATGGAAATGAGGCACTATTTAATTTAATATGCGCTGATTTGCATACATTTCTGAAACAAGAACTTTGGATGGAAGTCAGTTTCAATATTATTGCTTCTTTTTTGATAAATTAGAGTCAAGGTTTGTTACAGAGTGGATTTTACAGTTCTCCATCATTCAGAAAATACTGCCAACAGAACATGTTTTATATACTCAAGTAAATTATGTATGAAGATAATAATTTGTTTTTAAAAAACTTTAGAAAATGAATATCAATAATACTGAAAAGTTTGGCGAATGTACTGTAAGTGCTGCTGAAATGGAAATTTATGGCATTTACCATTTTAGAATATGATTATGATTGAAATCTACAAAAACAAATTGATAAAATGTGATAAAAAGAAAACTTAAATGTATTTTGGATTAATTTTAAAATTTTTAGACCCTCCAAAAAATGACAGGTGCATGAAAAATGTGTTTTTGCCTGCAGTTTCTTGCCTTAAAGGCTATTAAAATGGATCTGTTTCGGTTTCGATAGTTTTAATTGTGTATATATTAGTCAATGGACCAGTAGGCGGAGGAGTTCTGTGGTTCTGTGAATGTTTTGGATGAATCCCTTGCTGTAAATCTGAAGTAAAAAAATTTGTAAACTTTACCAAAGGTGTTAATTGTATTATTTGTGTGTCCTGGTTGTGAGGTGCGAGATTAGAATCACAGTTTAAGCTTTCGCTTATTTTACTGCTGCATTTTTTACATTCCTCAAGAGAGTGTTTGGGGAAGAATCAATTGAACAGAGGCTTTGTCCGGCTCACATTGTAAAAGATAAACATCATTTCCTGTCCAGACATTCCTGAAACTGACCCGAACAAGACAGCCATGCAGAAACCTAGCAGCCCTTTGGTAGCCACCTTTACAAACCAATTAATAAGTACACACACACACACACAAAGAAGCAGATTTCTTCAGGTACCACGTTATATTAAGTGGCTTTAACTGATGTGTACTTACACTGAAATTAATAATCCATTGCAGTGCACTTATTGAGTAAATGCATGTTTTTACAGTGCACATATGCTTGATTAAATACCTGCATGTGATTAAATCTGTAGGCTAATTAATTTCTGGAATTACATTAGCAATTACACTCTTGATCATCCTTTACACCTTAATCCATCCTTAAACCCACTTATACCACCAAACCTGTCACTAAACCTATACTCGTATCTGAAAAGCATTATAAACACAGTAAGTACGTTGTATTTATTTTGATGCAAGTACATAGTATTTAAGAACACTTTATATAGCGTGGAACCATAACTAATTAGACAATATGTTATGAATTTTTATTTACTTGTAAATTGATTGGAATACACACACGCATAAGAGAGAATGTAAATTTTATAGAAATGCACTTTAATATACCAGTAAATACTTTTTTATTATAATAACACAAACACAAACAGTAAAACAACAACAGTAAAATTAAATATTAATTATTTACTAAATGAAAATATATTTTTATATATTGGATGTCACAGTGGGTGTAAATTTAGGTGTAGTATGCATATTAATTGTTGTTTGATTTATATATTTATAATTATGACTAACATACTTTAAATGGAAGAAATATAAAGTATTCATTAGCTGTGTCATTTTGTCTTCAACTGCAGTAGCAATCCTTGACAGTGGTGGAAAGAAAACTGAAAAAAAAAAATCATACTCAAGTAAAAGTACCATTACTTGCCCAAAAATGTTGTGCAAGTAGAGTAAAAGTAACTGTTGTAAATATTACTTAAAGTATATGTGTAAAAAGTAGCCCTTTTAAAAGTACTTAAGTGTAATGAGTATTACACAGTGAAAAGCAGATGCATTTACATGCAGTTTGTGCAGGGATGTGTAAACGTAACATTCTTTAGTGCATTCAGTCATCTTTCTATATTTGTTTGTTCCTTCCAACCTTTCTTCCATTGTTTGTTCTGTACCTTCATTCATTCATTTGTTCGTTCCTTCATTCATTCATTTGGTCCTTGCTTCATTCTTCCCTTCATTCGTTCGCTTGTTCATTCTTTTATTAAAATTTTTGTTCCTTCCTTCATTAGGTGCTTTGTTCATTCCTTCCTCCCTTCCTTCCTCCTTTCCTTCCTTCTGTCCTTACTTACTTCCTTTCTAACTTCGTTCCTTCCTTCCTTCCTTCCTTTTTTACTTAATACCTTATTTCCTTTCTTAATTACTTCCTTCCTTCCTTCCTTACTTACTTCCTTTCCTTTCCTACTTAATTACTTCCTTAATTACTTATTTCTTTCCTTCCATACTTACTTCCTTACTTACTTCCCTCCTTATTTACTTACTTCCTTACTTCCGTACTTCCTTTCTTCCTTCCTTACTTCCTTCCTTACTTATTTACTTCCTTCTTTACTTCTGTCCTTCCTTCCTTACTTACTTACTCACTTACTTCCTTACTTCCCTAGTTTGTTCAGTAATTCCTTAAATCCTCTGTCTAAAAAAATTCCCTGCGTGTAAAAGTATCTGCGGGTCATTGCATGTAAAGACTTAGGACATTTTCTTGGATATTTTTAATGCTTTCAAAAGGTTTGGTGCATTTATAAAGCACCCACATCTTGAGGTTGTTCAGTATAATGCAATTTACTTTCTGTGTATGATTTGACAGAACAGGAATTGCAGGACTAATTTTTCTACTTTAGCCAATCACCATAGACAAGAAAGAAATAATGTAGAGGAGTAAAAGTACTGATGAAGCACTGGAAATGTACTCAAGGAAAAGTCAAAGTACACATTTTAAATTTACTTAGTAAATTGATATTCCTGAGGAAAACTACTTGATACCAGTAAGTGGAGTGTCTGTAATTTGTTATTTTGCACCTCTGGTACTTGATTACTTTTAATACAGTGAATCCCTGCATATTCTTAATATGAAGTAAGTTACTGTGAAAGTTTTTAAATGACCCACGATGCAGTGCTTATTATTGCATAGTATTAAACTGTAAAGAATGTATACTTTACTTGGCATTTTTTGGCAGTAAATAACTGTAAAAGTGTGTCAAAGCCTAACATTAGAGAGAGAGAGAGAGAATGCATTTAGGTATAATGTTTAGTGTCCAGATATGGAAGTTTTAGGTAGTGTTGAGTGTACAGACATGGAGGTTTTAGGTAGTGTTCAGTGTCCAGACGTGGAGGTTTTAGATGTTTAGTGTCCAGACGTGACTTGTGATTTGCAGTCTTTGGCGATGGGTCTCATGGACTGAATGCTAGCAGCAGAGGTTGTGACCCCCTCCATCCCCTCCTAGCCTAACCTTTGATTCCTGGGTAAGCAGGATTGTGTTTGAGTGTAGGAGAACAAAAGGAGGACACTGGTCTTAATGGCGGACCTCCCCAAAGCACTGTCTTCTCCACAATGGGACACAGGGACACCCACAGCGATCAGAGCAGAAGCCACAGACCCTCAGTGTGTGTCCCGCATTCAGACACGTGAGGGCTTCAGGAGCTGATCAGATCTGCTGCTGCTCATGCTGGACAGTAATAGTGTAACAGTAGCAGCGTTTTTACTTCACTATTACAGCAGACACAAAAGCAGCCATCCTCCTTATTGTTTGTTTTCATGTCTAAAGTTTAGGTGTTTTTGTTTTTTTGGGAACTTTTACTTCATTACATCATCCTTTTTTTACTCAATTACATAGTTGTAGCATATAGTGTGTACACTACACACAGTATTGTGTCCAATAGTGTATGTTCGTATCCGAATATATTTACAGTTTGTAGATCCAGCCAATCTGTTAAATCGGTTCACAAATTGCACTAAACACATGATACCAATGCACAGAATCAAATGATTCATTCAGAAAGAGTCTGCTGTTAAATACTCACTGATTCAAATGATCCACTTAAAAAGAATAGCAGCTCCTTGATTCAAATGATTCGTTTATAGAAAGAGTCAGCAAGTAACAACTTGCTGATTCAAATGATCCATTCAGAAAGAGTTTGCAGTCAATGACTGACTTTATTTAAATAATCTTTCCAAAAAGGAGTCTGCAGTTAACAGTTTGCTGATTCAAATGATCCATTTAGAAATTCTGCAGTTGGAAACTCAATGACACAAATTAACCATTCAGAAAGAGTCTACAGTTAACAACTCGCTGATTCAAATGATCCACTAAGAAAGAGTCTGCAGTGGGAAACTCATTGATTCAAATGATCTGTTCAAAAAGAGTCTGCAGTTAAATACTCACTGAATCAAATGATCCATTTAGAAAGAGTCTGCAATTAACAACTCACTGATTTAAATGATTTGTTTAGAAAGAGTGTGCAGGTAATTAATTTTAAGCCTAAAGTGACCAATGCTTGAATTTGAACGTCAATTTTTTTGTGTTTTTCCAATATATTGTTGACTAAATGTATTTGTCATGTACTTTAATCGAGCGCTAGATTATGTACTCGGTCCTTCTTCAGTCTGTGCTGGATGCTCATTTGAGGAAGACTGTAGGAGTCTGGCTGTGTGTATTCAGATGTAAGCAGTACAAGGGTGCGAATTGTGATTTGTAGGGTGTGAAGATCCGTCTGCGGGTCATTTGTAGGCCAGCTGTGGATGCAGACCATGAAGGGGGTGAAAGGGTTTGCTGGCAGGTGATTTCTGGCCTGTTCACACCAAGAATGATAACTGTAATGATAACTAAATTAGCATTTACATCGATAATGAGTGTTTGATGTTGCTAACTGTTAACATGCAGAACTGTTGCAAACAATTTATTTGTGTTAAATTAAAATAAACAAATTAAGTTTAATAATGTTCAACTTAATTTGTTTGTTTAAATTCAACACAATTAAATTGTTCACAACCACTTAACGTAAAAAAATTGAGTAAATCCAAGGAATCATCTCAGAACATTTTTTTCAGTGTACCCAAATAAACACTTCCCTTGTCCAACAGCCTATAACTTCCTATTTTAAAAGTAAAACATAATTAATAAGTAAGTTAACAAATAAATAAAATGTTTAAAAAGGGGGAAAAAATAAAAGATGAATAATAAAGATGTATTAATATATTATTGCTCAGCTTGAGAATAAAGAGAGTGAGCCAGCAGATAATCTAAAAAGGGGTGCCACACCTTGTCAGAGGTCTTTAAAGAAACAAGTGATAGTTTGAAAAAGAATATAGCTAATTCTATGTGTTTTAATTATCATTCATTCATTCATTCCCTTTTTTCTGCTTAGTCCCTTTATTAATCTGGGGTCGCCACAGCGGAATGAACCACCAACTTATCCAGCATATGTTTTACGCAGCGGATGTCCCATCTCTGGGAAACATCCACACTCATACACTACGGACAATAAGTTTAAGTTTAAACTTTTTTGTCCGTTCTGCTTGACACAGAAAGGAAATTTGTCTTCAACACTGGATTTAGAACAACAATTACAAACATACAACAACGACACAATAACAACACTCATCAAGACAACAACATAAGTTAAAAGTTTTAAAACCTAATTAGCCCCATGCACAATACTGCAAATTATTCTTGGCAACCACCTCATTCACTACAAACATTGATCCAAGAACAACAACTGCTATTGGGATAAATGACTTTTTATAAGCATATAAAAAAAATATAGCCTACCCAATTCACCTGTACTGCAAGACTT